AAAAAAAAAATTTAGAGATGTGTCATCATGAAATACTTTTTGAATAATAATGATAAATGTAACAGTAGCTGAAACCTGAGTTCTTACTATGTGCAAGAAACTATACTCTGTATTCAACTTACAATACTACTCCCAAGATAAGCACTGTTTTTAATGCTTGTTTTACAGATGGGGAAATGAATTGTCCACTGACACTCTTTCTTCTATATTGTATGTTCCACAAAATCTCTAAGTATTTTAATTCAACTCTCTCTATATTAATTCCTTTTTCCAAGTTTAAGGTTTATATACAGGAGTCTTATTAATTATGACATAGTCAAAGATGTATCCTGAAAGAGTATATGGGATTTTATAATCAATATCATTTTGCTTAGTAAGTATTATAATCTAAAATTCATTACCATTTCCCCCTAGAAATGTTTTCTGTATATGCTTAATCTAACTTTAGAAAAACAAATTTAAACTAGAGTCATTTCTTTTTAAAAATCCTTAAAGTAAAATTATGGTATGGCAAAACTCACCTATTCTGCACCTGAGCAGCTGCAAAATGGACATAATTCTTCTTCTCAAGTAGCTTAGCCAGCAGATTCTCAATTGCACCCTTCTGATTTTGAAAAGCTTCTTCCAAAAATTGATACCTTAAACCAAAACAAAAGCTACACTTAAGACAAAATTCACAATTAAGATTTTGGAAATAAAAAACAACTATGTGACCTTATGAAACCCTATTGAAGTGATTAGCTCCCTATGCTGGCCACTTTGTTCCTTATCTCAACACCAACTTTTGGCTGGCAATCCCCTCCTTTCTGACTCTAAGCCATTATAAAAGAAAAAACTACTCAAGAAATGTTTGTGTACTCTAATTTTACAGCTTTGATTCAGGATTACATCTTTTTAGAAATCCACATACTGAAGTAAGTTGTATACACCATAAATCACAAAATACAAGCAGATTATAGAAAATATTATCAAAATTATCCATAGTTTTAACATGAAAAAGAAAAAATCACTGCTATGGACTGTAATGTATATTCAGTATCTATTTTAATTTTATACTTTCAAATGCAAGTATAATTGTGATATTTAATTTTATATCTGACTTTTATTTATCTTATCTTTATAATCACAACTGAAATAACTTTTCAGTTCATGCATCACATATTGTCAAACCTTCCAAAAGGGTTATACTGTATACCATTTTAAAACGGTACCAGTTTTATTTTAACACTGTCAACATGAATGGTACACATGAAATTTTTCTAGTGGAAATTCAAACTTAAACTCTACACTTCTTTGGTTATTTAGAACCTAGAGTAACGGTTTTCTTTGCTAGTTTAATTTCCTCTTTGGAAATTGTTAAATCAAGTTTTAGTTTCTTCTATGTCCTTTTTACATGGGCAAAAGGATCCATCATAGTTCATATTCTAAAAGACATAAATATAAAATGATACCATACTCTGACAAGAGTTATAACAGAGACATGTATAATTTCAAGCAAAAACCCAGCGCCTAGGGTGGCATCTGTGGCTCAGTGAGTAGGGTGCCAGCCCCATATACCGAGGGTGGCGGGTTCAAACCCAGCTCCAGCCAAACTGCAACAAAAAATAGCCGGGCATTGTGGCGGGCACCTGTGGTCCCAGCTACTCAGGAGGCTGAGGCAAGAGAATTGCCAAGAGAATTGCCTAAGCCCAAGAGCTGGAGGTTGCTGTGAGCTATGACATCAAGGCACTCTAGCAAGGGTGACAAAGTGAGACTGTCTAAAAAAATCCCCAGCACCTAAATCAGCCTCAAGGAAATCTCAGAGAAGTGAAAATGGTATCCAATGCTAAGTCCAAAGGCATTCTTATGGCAATATAAATACTTCAAAATGGCCAAAGAAAAATAAGCAAAGATCAGAATGTGAGATAATTGGTAAAATCCAGAGACAGACTGTGAAGGGCCAGGTATACCATGTTACTTTTGTAGTTTATTCTCTAAGTCTCTCAATAATGGGAAATCCCTGAAGAATCATAATGAGAATGTTATAATCACAGGTACACTCTAGAATCATTGTCAGACAAATATAAAAGACCTAAAAGAAAGCAGAAGGGAAAGACCAGGTAGAACTTTAAGGTCAGGGTACAGTACTGATTGGTACAGCCAAACAAGATGAACAACTGACTCTGTTAGATCAACAGATTCGAGAGATTTTATGTCAGTCTTATAAAGGCCCATGTTACAATCTAAAAATCTGATGCCTAGCTAAGCCACAGTCAAGAAAATGTCACTAGAAACGAAGAGTTCGAGGTAATGACAAACTCCTAATTGCCTACGTGGGCAATGAAATTACAAAAGTAAAGGCAGGCACTGAGATGAGGAGAAAGACTGTGAGCATCTAGATGTCTACTGTGTCCTCCGTAAAGGTCTCAGCTACCGTAGACAAGAGGAAAGGCTATGAAATTGTTAACACACAGAAAAGTTTGTTAAGAGAAAAGGAAGTATGCTGGCTCGGCACCCATAGCTCTGTGACTAGGGTGCCAGCCACATACACTGAGGTGTTTGAACCTAGCCTGGGCCTGCTAAACAACAAGGACAACTCCAACAAAAAAAAAATAGCCGGGCATTGTGGTGGGCACCTGTAGTCCCAGTTACTTGTGAGGCTGAGGCAAGTGAATCACTTGAGCCCAAGAGTTTGAGGTTGCTGTGAGCTGTGATGCCACAGCACTCTGCCGAGGACAACACAGTAAGACTCTGTCTCAAAAAAAGAAAAAAATGGCTCGGCGCCTGTGGCTCAAGCAGCTAAGGCTCCAGTCACATACACCTAAGGTGGCAGGTTCGAATCCCCAGTCCGGCCCCGCCAAACAACAATGA